TACTAGTCTGTTAAAAACAATGTTACTTTTCCCTGACATCCTTCTAACTTCAGATATCTTAACTATAAAATGCCACAAAATACAAAACACTATTCCAATACTTAACAAAAGTACTAGTCTGTTAAAAACAATGTTACTTTTCCCTGACATCCTTCCCCATATCAAGTATCTTAACTATAAAATGCCACAAAATGCATTTTGATTATCTTTTGAATTGAAGGTGTAGTATATATTAATTAGCAGAGACCTGCAAAACATTTCTCTCAAATTAGTATCTTTACCGCAACAGTATTTCTTTAAATACAAGATTTGTAGAATAATTCAAATGAAATATAATCATAGACACTGCAATGTGTAAGTCCACTTGTATTTAGGTCTACTTCATAAAACTTTACTAATGTTAGGCCTAAGTTCAAGACAGAAATAAACTAATACTGTATTGTATAAATTTTTTTACAATAGCTTAGTTGGGACTAAACTATACTGTACTTAATACTATCTATAAATAACCTTATAATGTTATTCTATGACCTAGCATCAGACTTTTTTTTGGAAACTTCAGCTTATAATGTTATTGTACTAAATGGTTAATAAAGAATATTTACATTCACCTTTTTGTTATACCCTCATTCACAGAGCAGTTGAAGCGACTTGTTCATTGAGTTTTCCAACTATCTGGCACAGGCAGGACTTGTATTGTTGTTACGGGTAAAATTCTTAGTGCACATGTTTATAAAGTGTATCAACAGCAGATTATAGTACAACAAGATTTTGTTGTTTGCATTTAGAATTCTTTCGTATTATTCTAGAAATCTTGTATTTAAAGAAGTACTTTTGTAATAAAGACACTAGTCTGAGTGCAAGTGTCTTGCAGGTCTCTGCTAGTCAATTAGAATAACAAGGTTTGTCTGTCATGATACTGCACACGCATCTTACTATCTAAATACGCATGCACGTGCACGTAATTTCTGTAACAGACACACAAACTAAACATATTATTATATAGATTCTCAAGTACTGATACAATGACCATGTGTCCTGGTAATAAGGTCTATTATTATACCTGTACACAACTCCCTCTGGTGTAATTTTTCAATACCAAAAACATACTGAGGTGCCAATCATAAAAAATATGCCCTGATCTTCATTATACACTGGTACTGGGCTAGAAGCCCAGAGTACAATAACTTTGAGAGTAATAACAAGTATTGCACTCTTTTTTTTTATTTTCCTGAGGTAGTGGGCTAGTCTTTCAAATATAATAAAGCACAAAACATACTCTTAAATCTTTATGAATGAATATTTCATTTTATGAAACCGATTATAAGCTGATTTCTTTCTAAAACTACAATCTTAAATGCAAAGTTTTACTCTAATCATCAACAAATACAATGGATGTCTCTAGCTTATCAATAGTATAATTTCAATAAGGATAAACCCATTATTAGTACCGATTTTAAATTGCATTTGAAAAGAAAATGTCAATATTACTAGTGTTGATAAAAAGCAAGGGTCCAGTTTGAATGGAATGCAATAGTAACAAATTTTTGCTTTTTCTCACACAGTCACTCTACAATCAAATCAATTGGCCTTTCCCTAACTCCCCAGTGATGTCATTTTCTAAACTAATCTCTGCCAAGCACCTTATCAAAAAATCTTTTAAATTTTTAGTACACCAAGCTGCGCGGCCACACAACAACCAATCCAATGGCGCTCACTTAATTATTCCAGCCACACACAGCTCAGCTGAGGAGTTTCAACACTGACAGCCTTAATGACCCTGGCAGTCAATAGGCCTAAAGCCCAAATAACCAACTGGTAGCATTGCAAATTGGTCCAATGATTCAATAGGGTTGTTGGTCTAAAAATACCCCCCCCCCAAAAAAAAACCCAAAAAACTGGTACCTCAAACTATCAATATCATCCCATTCAACCATACTTTGCTATAAGTATCACCATCCTTTATCATTTATGCATGAAATCCACATTTTAACAAATTGCTTACCATAGTTTAAAATACTTTATTTAAAAATCCTTGCTATTAGCTTTAACATTATCAGTTAACTCTCTCTTATTAAACTTTTTGATTTCCTAATTTGTTTTGTAACCAAATCCCTAGCTTTACTAATACTATAGACTAGTTCTGTAACTGTAAGCCTTCCATCCTATATCATATGTTAATTTAAACTTAGTATTCATAAAACTATGTAGGAAGGTAGATTCCAACGATAACAGCTTTTTTTATTATTATCCTTAAAGTACAAGAGGACCTAAACCTCTCAAGATTATATTGACTTAAACTTAAGTTTTAAACTAAATACAATAGCATAGAGACAAGATATGCTGGAAAGAAGTGGTGTAGGGACTGGCGCTGACATTGGTGTGAGTTGGATAAAATGGTATACATAAATGAGACATGTCATAACAGAAATAAGGTATACAACATAGAAATATATAATAATATTAAAATTAAACACATATTTTTATAT